TGCAATGGTTTGGTTATCTTGAAATTTTTTACATGTTCTACATTCCTGTACGCTTAATCTGAAATGATATGACGGGGATTAGAACCCACGACCCTCAGATTGCGAGTCGAGCGCCTTATCCACCTGGCCATGCCGGGCCAGGGTGGGGGGGGGGGGGGGGGGGTTTCTGAAATAACCGTTTAACTTATGTCGTATAACATGCTGTTTAGGTTGAAAATACTTGTTGAATGAATTTAGTGCTAGTGTATGATTGATTGATCATTACAAATCATTATTGACAGAAGCCCAAAGCGTTGTAGAGCATGCATGGAGTTTATAAATATTTAAACGTGTTTGTTTCCTATTTCCTGTTAGATTCATTAAGACTTGTTATTGGCTTAATTAAATTATCTATGAATCAAATTTCCAACAGTGGCTCGTCGGTAAGCTTCGGGACTCATAATGCTAAAATTAAGGGTTCAGTCCCTGCAGGGTACAGCGTAGATAGACCATTGTGCAGCTTTAGGTTTAACTCTTACTGCCGTGCATGATCACGTATGTCTCCCTCTAGAGCTGTGGTGCGCCCCCCAAGGTGTCGAGGAAAGTCGGCAGGGGGCGCGCAGCTATGACTATAGGTACATATAAGTTATATCTAAAAGTAAAAATTAAAAAGTTTTAAAAGCTAGCTTACGATTATTACTACTATTAAGTAATACAGGAACAACAATTAACATGAGGGGGCGCAACAATACGCATGTTTAGAAAGCGGGGGGTGTCGTATAAATGGTTTACGCACCACTGCTCTATAGCACGTGCGTTTGTATTTCTGTACAACTTTAAAGAAAGAGTATTCCTCTTCAAACTTCCCACTGTTTACCAGTTCAGACTTTCAGACAATCATTAAAACACGTGTACTACGTAGTTTTTATTTGGTGGGCAGAGCACAGATAGCCCATTGTGGAGCTTTGTGCTTAATTACAAATAAACAAAACTTTTTATTCTCGGTCTAAAAATACGCCGGCTGTAAGGAGAGTGGCTTGTTTTTCCATGAGAAAAAACATTGAAACAGTTGTAACTACTCTTATGGGAGAGAGAACCGTTTATTTCATCTCATTTACTTACACTATCTGTCCATCCAGTTCTCTATCTAGATTTGTTGATACTTGTTAAAAATGAACGTTTTTATTTTATGATTATGAAGCCTCGTCGTGTTAGCACGCATTTATGTAACTGAATTATAACATCTTATAAAGTTAGATAGGAGATCGTGTTTGTTTTGTGCGATAGGTTAGTAATTTGTTCATTGTATAACTATACGATATGCTGGATTAAAGCTACTGGAAGTAATGTGTTCGATACATACGTCACGTGTATGCAATCTTCGGACCTAATCTTATAACGTGTTAGTTACAGGTACAATTGCTCTCGGGCCAGTTAGGTAAGAGTCAGTAGAATAAAAACACTTACTGTGTCGCTGAGCATCATGAATTACAAGTGTATATAAGCGATGTTTATTTATTGCGTTATCCATTTTCTTTACAGATGCGTGTTTTTACGGATCCCCTTTAAGCTGACTTTACCGCAAGGCAAGTGAGGTTTACGGCTAAACCATCTCTACGGATCCGGAAGAGATTAAACTAAGCTGTCTGGGATTAAATACAGGAACAATGAAGCAGTTATTAGAAAGCTTCAGCTGGTGGCCCTGAGTACCTCTAACTCTGACTGTTAAGCTATCGACGACTGTGTGGAGGTGCTATGGACTGTAAGGGGTCGGTTCACACTCTTAACTACACCATGAAGCCTATCACGTTACCCGACACCTTGAGAATTAACGAAGCCGGTGTAGGTGGCGCTTCAACCCCGACCTTGTCTCCTAACCTGCCAAGTATCGTAAAGGTAGAGCCTCGTCTGCCAAGTCCTCGTGTAGGCAGCCCCATGGAGGCTGGGGTTGGTGTGGGAGTTTTTAACTCAAGCAAACGATTGCGGTTGGATAATGGGTCTCAGATGTGCTTTGGTTCTTTGTCTCTCCCACCTCCTTACTCTATGTTAATCAGCAACGGACTTTCCCCTGACTCAGTTAGCAGCTATGATGGAAACAGTTTATCAGGTGAGTACAAGTATACTTTCTTTCCCCTGACTCAGTTAGCAGCTGTGTTGGAAACAGTTTATCTGGTGAGTACAAGTATACTTTCTTTCCCCTGACTCAGTTAGCAGCTGTGTTGGAAACTATTTGTCTGTTGAGTACAAGTATACATTCCCCTGACTCAGTTAGCAGCTATGATGGAAACAGTTTGTCTGGTGAGTACAAGTATACATTCCCCTGACTCAGTTAGCAGCTGTGTTGGAAACAGTTTGTCTGGTGAGTACAAGTATACATTCCCCTGACTCAGTTAGCAGCTGTGATGGAAACAGTTTGTTTGTTGAGTACAAGTATACATTCCCCCTGACTCAGTTAGCAGCTGTGTTGGAAACAGTTTGTCTGGTAAGTACAAGTATTTTGATATTTTAAACCCTGATAAATATATGGATTTTTTTATGTGAAGGAGTGTTAATGTTGTGTATCATAGAACAGAAGTGTATCATAGAACAATAGTATATCATAGAACAACAGTGCATCATAGAACAGTAGTGTAACATATAACAGTAGTATATCATAGAACAGTAGTGTAACCTAGAACAGTAGTGTATCACAGAACAATAGTGTATCACAGAACAATAATGTATCATAGAACAATACTTGTACATCACTTCAAACAGAATGGAAAAACAACGAATGTTTATGGTACTTCAAGTAAACATTTGAAATATTAGATCTCTCATTGGTGCTTCAAGTAAACATTACAAATATTATATCTCTCATTGGTGCTTCAAGTAAACATTAGAAATAGTAGATCTCTCATTGGTGCTTCAAGTAAACATTAGAAATATTAGATCTCTCATTGGTGCTTCAAGTAAACATTAGTAATATTAGATCTCTCATTGGTGCTTCAAGTAAACATTAGAAATATTAGATCTCTCATTGGTGCTTCAAGTAAACATTAGAAATATTAGATCTCTCATTGGTGCTTCAAGTAAACATTAGTAATATTAGATCTCTCATTGGTGCTTGAAGTAAATATTATATTTAAAAAACATTCACTATTCACAACCTTCTGATCAACTTATGGAAATGAACAGAAACATAGCTTTTAAAACCAATAAAACTACATTTTTTAGCATTTAACAAAGGAATTACACGTGCCGTTCCGGACATGCGTAATATTATCCACTAGGGATGACTCATAAAAGCTTTACTAGAAGTTTTGACGTCAGTGTTTTTGGTATCTTAATGTTTCCCATGTAAGGAAAGACTTTCGGGAGCACGTGATCCTTGTTTGTAGTCAGCCTTGTGATAAGTACAACATTATCCCTGACGTTCTTGGTTTGTGCCATCTGATGAAAACCCAATTCTTCACACGCTTGTTTGTACTTCTTACAACGACAGGTGTGTAGTTGGGCTTTAATCGGTCTTAGGCTTCTCTTCTAATCAGTTTTACAATAATTGATTCATGTAAACCGTTTATTTCCATGAAAATTAACTTCCGGAAAGTCTGTAGTGCTTTACCTCCGAGAGGGCGCTGCGATCTGTGCATCAAAATCATGTTGATGTTGCTGGTTCTGCCTTTGTAGATTTATTAATTACTGAATTCTAAGTAGAATAAGAGGCGACGGGTTGAACACTTATATCATTGACTAGCTAACCCTTATCTTGTGATTTATTACACGTGGTAAATACACGTGTCTTGAATGTGGCTAACCCTTATCTTGTGATTTATTACACGTGGTAAATACACGTGTCTTGAATGTAGCTAACCCTTATCTTGTGATTTATTACACGTGGTAAATACACGTGTCTTGAATGTAGCTAACCCTTATCTTGTGATTTATTACACGTGGTAAATACACGTGTCTTGAATGTCACGATTGATTATATTATTTCCAGTTGAAGTAATAATCATTTTTGCTTTCCTCGTTTAATTAATGGTTCTACTTACACTTTCAATCCAGTTAAATTAGAAAATAATTAGTTATTTTCACACGGACAAATTCTCAAGTGTTGGTGTTTTTTTTTTCCTAAGATAGTTAGAGTAGGTCGTTTCGTGTTATACAATTTTGCGTATTTCCTGCCCCCATTTCGTAGATGTACACCCACTGTGCATGCTCAGTGTGTTAGATTCTGATTGGTTGTATAGTGTTTGTGGCCTGATTTGTTATGTTTTTTCACGTGTTATACTTGTAGAAATTGGGAATTTTTTTCAGTACTAATTTGTTTAGCGGAGAAAGTTCTTGTTTTATTAGCGCAAATCTACACAATGGGCCACCTGCGCTCTGTCTAGCGTGGAGAATCAAACCCACAATTTTAGTGTTATTAGTCCAGAAACGTACCGCTGGCGCATTGAGGGACGTGGAGCTGTGGAAATGTTAGTTCCTTATTTAGGTTTGGTGTTTTATCAGTAAAACATGAACAATGTAAACAGCCTGTTTCTCGAGGCAGATATTATAGAAAAATAAATAAAATATCTATAACAGCGTGTTTATTGTAACATTTCCTGCTCTACACGTGCCTTCAACTCCGGACAAGGTCTAATAACACACACCTTTAGGACAAAGTTTGATAACACATCTTTAGGGCAAAGTCTCATAACACACACCTTTAGGACAAACTCTAATAACACACCTTTAGGGAGCCCAGCATGTTTGGTGGTATGCGGATTCGAACCCGCGACCCTCAGATTGTGAGTCGAGCGCCTTATCCACCTGGCCATGCCCGCCCTTTCAGCCGT